GTTCTCGAGCAAGGTGAGACTTGTTCTTTAAACATACGCATTATTTAGACCAAGTAGAATGACCATCATGTGCAGTTTGGGCGAACAAATCCGCGCAAATAATTGCTTCACTCTGAGTATATATGGTGGAGTAGGCTAGAATGTCAGACATGCGTACGTGGACGAATGTCTTGTATCACATGCCATTGCGGGCCAATGATATTGTGTGGCTATCATTATCTCGAAACGAGGTCCATGGATTCAAGAAGAGAGTCCAAAAAAAACATGTTGATCTCTGTAAACTGATGGATTAATCCCTAATTAAGCCCCTACTGAACTGATGCTGTGTTGCCAAACTTTTTTTGAGTCTTGCTTGGATTGTTGAGTTATTCTACATCCCTAATCACGCACTCACTACAGTAAAAACGACTCTCAAAATTAAAAACGGCACGCAGAGGCTCCTTTTTTACTAGTATTTCACAAAGTTAATATTAAATCATCCTGACTAAAACTAAATTAAAAAGATTGAGTTCCAGCGGCGTCTATACGAGGAGATTCACGCATATATCTATACAAGAGATCCCTTGAACAAGAACAAATTTTCGACAGGAAATACTTGAGCCTTACATAATTAATAACGATCCATCTCCTCATCATCTCATGGGCAACACAATTAAAGAGACAAGAGATCCATCTGATCATACTGAGATTATACTATACCACTTTCGACCATATTGACTGGATGTTGCACACCAAGCACCACCACGGGAACACTACTAATTCTACTACCATTTTGTAAAACTTGGCTCTTTTCTAATTTTTCCTGCACGGATTAGCTAGGCTTAAAACCATCGTATCAACCTTTCTTTAATATGAATATTTTTATGTACGTTGCGCGCCGCCCAGAATTAGCAATAGTGTGGCGCATGCGCGTTCATGTGTATATGTATTATTAATGTAGTGGAAGACCAAACACGCCACTTAACTTTGTTCCCGTGATGTCCTGCCACTGTGACCCCCTTGTGTCTGTGTCATATATATTATAATGTATGCTTATGAGAGGTGAGGCAAGCACAAGACGCAACAAACCACACATGATGAATTCCCAGAGCAACCAAGTACGAATCTGAGACACGAACGTGATCTATTATTTTGGCCTGCAGAAACAAAATGTAATCATTTATATTATACCAGTTCACACAGTAGTGCACGTATATCAATGAACAAATTTGGTTCTATATATGCGAGCTGGCGGTGGGATCCGAAGCCGGCTATCCCTAGATTTGATGCTATCATTCTTTACTTTTTAAAGCCATTATACATGTCTCTTTCATTTTTCTACTTTTATCTGCACTAGCTAGCTAGCTCGCTTCATATTATCAGTCACCTTTTCTTGTGTTTTCTTCTTGTTCTTTTTCTTTCGAATGCCATTTTGTTGGCTTGTTTTTTTCCCCAATTTATACAAGAAAAAAAAACTACGTAATTAGGTAATTACATGACTCTATATCACAGCTATACAAGAGACACAAGAGAAACAAAACTCTCTCGCGCGTACGTGTATTTGATGAGTAGTATGATATGTATGCAAGCGTTTTGGTCCCCTAGTGGGCGATGGGTGTGTTTCCTTTTATCAGAGTTCATCATTGGTTAACATGTGGAAGGTTGCCTTCGGAAAGAATAGAACATATGGTGGGGGCTAATTGTATTATATGTTATAGCCTCACTCATATCATCACAAACACTTTTGAGGCAAAAAGCAAAGAAACAATTGACGGCGCTCGTACCGAGGTAGAGTTTTGGCGCATTAGAACGTTTGACCACGTCATAATAATTAATACAGAGTGATAATTAATACACTACTGGTTTACTGCTTAGTTCTTGTTTTTAAGCCATAAGGACGAAACTAACAGTGGCTTAATCGATAATTCAGTCTTTAAAACATCATGGAAAAAGTATGGGGAAAAATTGGAGGAGAAAATTCCGCGAGCTTTTGAATTTGTATGGTGCGATGGGCCTTTACTGAACTTTCATTTGATTTTAAGCTCAAAGACGAAGAAAGAGAACAAAAGACGAATGAAAGCGAAACTCAAATGCAGATCAAGTAAAGATATATACTGATAAAACTATATTATACGTAGCTTGAGGATGAAGGATGTTCATCATATGGTATTCAAAACGCCCATCCCTCAAAAGGAGATACTTTAATCGAAGCTGTTCATTTACAAGATACCCTCTATACTGTCCCGATCACACACAAAGGCATATGCATGGCATGTGCATGTATGGTAAAAGCAACCATTATACGTTCAGAGATCTTTACCTGTGTGTGCACATGTCATGACAAAAAAATGCATTATTTATTTTTGCCAGTATAAGTCCATCCAAAGAATACTCATGACTTTGTCCCCTTTATTGCATGCAAATAAAGAAGCTATAGATCTAGTTACCACCTACTGTGCCACAAGTCTAATTAAAGAAACCAACCATAGCTATAAAACTATACCAGCTACTACTGTGCTGCTAATATTTTATGCCCTAACTGTTATACTTTGATGTTTACAAAGAACGAGCCTTCACCAACAGGCAAAAGCCACGCGAAGAGAGATCAAATCACAAACTAAAGTGCTGAAATCAATGAAAGCATACTCACACTCATGATTGAAATAATAATTAATCAATCTTTCTGCTGCTAAAGCAGATGTAGAAAACGATCACACAAAGAGAAAGGAAGGGAGGAAAAAAAAAAAAGCAAGACAATCCCACATAACTAGAAAAGGGAAGGCTAACAGTGGCAAAAATCAGGTGTACGGGGGGTAACGTGGGCACACTCGCACTTTATTCTGTGTGTACTTTGGGTTCTCTCTTGTGTGGGGGTGTGTTCCTCACGCCAACTATATCTCATTGTGGTTAATTCATACACACACACACACATATTATTACTACAAGCTGCTCTTATTGGATCTCTTATAAGGGGATAAAGCGTCCAAGTTGTTCTTTCAGGTGTCATTCTTGTACTGCTTAAAGCTTTTCAGTTTATATATTCCCAGTTTTTAAATCTTGAGGAGGCATCCCACCAACCCGCCTGTTCGGGGAATATGTGTTCAAACTTTGAAAGTTTAAATCTGGCCAGCTAGTTTTGAGTCATGCACCAGGAAGAGAAGAGATATTGGCAAACATATTCTGCACCAGCACTGAGCTGTTCGGTGTGTGTGTGTACGTGTGTATGAAATAAATTTAAGTCCAAGTTTGAATCTAAATGTATATATATTATACTCACTTTGCTGTCGGACTCAAGCACTATTTATTTTACTCATATACAGTAAAGCATGTAACAAGAAGGCTCAACTCAATCGCTTTCATTACTATGTATGTATTTCCGTTTAGATCAGAGGCTATTAAACATATGTTCATGCTACAAACGACAGAGCTTTGGAGTATCTATGTTAACTGCATGCGATATATTCAGAGAGGCTTTAAATTTCATTAAGACACTACAAAACTTGCGATAAATAATTCCACTTAGGATATAGAGAACTGTACTATAGTAGAATTTGGATTTCAAAATTAAGCATTCTATTCTTTGTATTGTCACTCCAGAACAAACTAAAAAGATTGAAAATGACGACTATTTCTGAAAGATTATATATATATATAGAGAGAGAGAGAGAGAGAGAGAGAGAGGTTGGGCACATTTATTTTAAGCATTTCCAAACAGGAACTAGAGATTAGATGGCACAAAGCAGCTTCGATGGACAAATTAGCACGGAATTTGGAAGCCGTGGGGATTTCGTTTCTGCCTCCTGGTGCGGATCTGCAGGTCAGTGACATCATAATTATGTATGCATAAGCCTCTCGGGAAGAAAAAACAAAGAAAGAAGGGACGTGAGGAGCAAGGTGGGCGAGTGAGGGCGCGCGTGAGGGGAATATATCCTTTGCTTGTGGGAGGAGGCCGAGTGGGGCCCACATTTCCGGGGCCCGCTAGTAGAGTGCTCTTTCGGTATGCGTTCTTTCTCGGGGACCCAAATATTCTAAACTTCTGTCACGTCAGATTAGGACTAGCATGACGTAACTTGCCGCCTATTCTCCAAGTCATCATGAACGGCTATCCTTCTTCCAAGTCACTCACCATACTAAATCTCAACTGTTCATTTTATGAAAGAGGATATAATAAAGGTGGGGGCACTAGAGAGACAGTTACGGCCCACAGTCGTTGTCCCCGACGGGGCCTGGCGAGGTTTAGACCGTGGCGCAGGACAACATGGCAGATCACTAGGCTCACCTTTTTCTTCCTTCTTAATCACTGCCAGTGTTGGTTCGTCCCAAGCTAGTAGTCTCACCACTCCACACTAAGAAAATATTCCCCTTTCTCTTAACACTTCCTGGCTGGCTGGCTGGCTGCTTCTCTTTCTTTCTCTGTGCAATGCTGATCATGAACTGCTAGCGGAGCGTGAAGTTTGATAGGGATCTGCTCCTAGGAGAAGGCCTTCTTCCTGGTTTAGATTCGCTTGTGAATGGGTTTTTCTTCTCTGCACGTCTGCATGGAATCATCAGATCACTGGCTCCAGGTATGCCTATAATGGACAGGTTATATTCTTTGCCTCGAATATGGCTTCTGCGAAAATCAAACATTCTTATTTGTGATGAACTTCAACCTCTTTTCTTGTGTTTATCTCGCACATGTTATGTTAAATGTGGAGAAAGGTGATTAATTTGAGAGTGGAATACAGGGATATATACACAATTTAATTAGATGAGATTAGTAGAAGTGATGTCATGTTGCACTCTGCAGCCTATTTCTTTTCTGCATTTTCTTGCAGGAAAAAGGTATGTATTGCTAATGGAAAAAAGAAGGAAAAAGCCAAGGGAAAAAAGAATTTTAGAAGCACGAGGAGAGAAGAAGAATGTAGTAAGAAAAAGACACAAAATGCAGGCCATTATTATATGTGTTACTTAACTTGTTTCTTTTGGTTTGTCTTAGGGCACAATTCACGAGGAATCTGGATTGGATTCATCTTCACCATCAGGAGACATGCTTACATGCTCCAGGCCCATGATAGAGAGGAGGCTAAGACCTCCACATGACCAAGCCCTCAAGTGCCCTAGGTGTGACTCCACACACACCAAGTTCTGCTACTACAACAATTACAGCCTCTCTCAGCCAAGGTACTTCTGCAAAACTTGCAGAAGGTACTGGACTAAAGGTGGTACTCTCAGGAACATCCCTGTTGGTGGTGGGTTGCAGAAAGAACAAGAAAGTTTCTAACAAGAAATCCAATAATGACCCATCACATAATAATCAAAACCAACCATTACAGCCTGCAGGGATAGCCACCTCTTATAATCACCATAACAACCCTAAAGACCATCTTCAACTTTCTTTCCCAGATGCGCAGTTTTCTCACATTGGTAACTTACTGGGAAACCCTAATTTCATGCTTGAGAACCCCAGGCCTATTGACTTCATGGAAAGTAGGTGGGAAGGGATAATTGGGAGTACATCTAGGAACTTCCATTTTCTGGGAAATAGTGACATGGGTATGGGAATTGAGGTCGGAGAGACTAATGGTCATCACAATGGGTTGCAGCCAAATTTTCACAGTCTTTGCTCTCCATCGGGATTTGGGGGTATGTCATCTTTTGATGGTAATGACAATAGTGGAGGTACTTATAATATCATGGACTCTTCTTGCCAGAGACTGATGCTGCCATATGATCATGCCAATGAGGACCCAAATGCCACAATTGATGTGAAGCCAAACCCTAAGCTTTTGTCTCTTGAATGGCAGGACCAGGGTTGCTCGGATGCTGGAAAGGAGTCGTTTGGGTATCTTAACGGTCTAGGACCATGGACCGGCATGATCAACGGCTACGGTTCTTCCACGACAAACCCTCTGGTCTAAATCTCACTACTTCAGATGAGTGAGTCTATCACATCTCAGTTATTTCTATATATAAAATATTCCTAAGCCTTTGATAGGAAGGTTCCTGGTTCCTTCTATCTGGGCGGTCTATAGTTTCTGCATTGACTTGGCAAAGGAGTGTGAACAAGAAGCTTCAGAGTCCAATATCGACTGCCTTGGTGGGTTTACTTTTGGTTCATATATATTCGTGTCTTTGTGTGTGTAACATATGTGAAATTAAAGCTTTGATTAGGATTTTGTTGTAACATCGAGGAGGATATGGTAGTTCTTTTTTCGGTTAAAGAAAATGCAGTCAATAGTAGTACCATTATCTTTATAAGTTCTTGTCCCTATGTGCTTTTGTGATATAATATTATGTCCCCAGATTAAACCACGACAAGTTCATCACGCCAGAGAATTTCGTAATGACCCCCTTACATTTACTCTAGGAAAAAAGAAATACGAGGAAAAAGCAATTCTCAGACAGAGATACATATATACTAAGTATTGGTCGTTGATCGAATTTATATATCACATAATAATAAAAAGGTATAGTGAGATTCTCGATGAGACTGGACGAATTGAGAAAGAACTGAACTGTACGTTCATCAGAAAGAAAATAGGTAACAAGTATTGACAAGTCTTTCTACGGGTCCTGATTATTGATATATATACATATATGTATATGATTAAATATCAATGCCATTTTGTGACGGTCATGGCTCACGTATAAAGTGTACAGTGAAACTGTATTAACATTGGTGGGCAAATAGACAGAGTGGATCAGGATCAGGTAACTCAAATCTTTAAGCATGGCTCCTGCTTTTAATAAATTGACTGCTTTTAATCCATTTTGGCAATCAAATAAATGATATATACATGAACAAAAGAAATATAAACCGGTTCTCTCTTTTTATATATGTGACATGTATCTTTATCCCCACCGAATTTTGGGTGATAGCTCAGCCAAAATGAAAGTTTATCGAAGTACGTACAGCAGATCGGTGGAAATCATCGTGATGTGCATGTTTAGGGTAATATGTATGACGTGATACGCATGACGAGCGATTATTGATAAAATGATAATAGACTCTAGCTACAACTGTGCATGTGTTTGGTTAGATTAGAATCTTTCTTTATGAGCTTAGGCATCAATGGCCTTCAGATAATAATAATAATAATAATAATTAATAATAATTATTATTATAATTATTATATATCAAAGCAATTTTTGGCACCCAAAAACAAATAGTACATGACTACGGTTTTTTAACGGCCATGTGGCTCCTCTGGTATATAATAGGGGGAGGGAAAAAGTAAAAAAAGAAGGAGAAGATCCGGTTGCGTTGTCGTTTAGCGCTCTGGCCAGCGTTATGGCGAAAAACCGATTAAACAAGAAATAAAAGGGCATTCCGAGAATCGAACTCGGGACCTCTCGCACCCAAAGCGAGAATCATACCACTAGACCAAATGCCCGGGCTTGAGAGCGCGCGTGCAACAAAATATATAGAAGTAAGGTAACTTATGTTCTACAACCCATCTCACCAGGCAATCAAGAGGATCCGGAGTCTCTGCGCCTGGGTCAGTTCAAGGAAGAACAGATCATACGGAGCAGTCACAATGGAAATGACAAGTTCTGATATTAACGAAATCGAAAATTAAATCTAGACGGTAATGTTAATGGTGATATCTTGATCATAACATATCAACTTAACATTCTGTTCATACATACAAAATGTGAGACCAAAAAAGAGTCTAAGATCTGACACAAATCCACACTACTGATAAAAACAGAAGCTTCATGAACTAATTGAGATAATATAGAATGTTTCTGGAGTATTTCCCCACTATTGAGCATTATTTGAACCGTCAGAATAATGACTACAATGTTTCGTCCAGACCCCTCAACTTCATGAAAACCAGTCAGTCACTCTTCAGAAACACAGTTGAACCATTAACATTGAATACATGGAAGCCTTCTGGCAGGCTCATATTTACAGACACACAGGAGTACATGGTACTTTTAATCAACTTTTCAACCATATTCCGCTGGGCTTTTGACCAGCAAGCTACATTTATGTAACACACAAACACACTTGTGTCTTTGAAGAGTACATTATATTGAATATATATGAGCCTCCCAATGATATTGCAGAAGCTTGCTTTATCAAGATATATATTTAGGTCACAGTGCTACTTACTACTGATCATCTTGTTTGTAATCCCTTAATGACAACGGCCTTTCTTTTGTATTTAAAAAAAAGAAAAGAAAACAAAACAAAACAAAACACACACACAGAGAGACGCAGAAGAAATGTGTCAGATAACAATAATCCCCCGGTACATGTTTCACTCTCACCAACTCCCCCAGATGCATGAGGGTAGGAGACAAAACTCAACAGGATAAAGCAGCTTGAGGCAGAAATATAATAACTTCAACATGCAATGCAATCATGGAAAGCTTATATATAGAACAAAAATTATTACTCTCTCTCATTCCTTATCAATAGCTAAGGTACAGAGAGTGGAATACAAATCCAACTTTTCACAGTTCAGTCTCAGCATTTCCCCCTAACATCAGATACAACAATGTTCAGGCCGGCTTTCCTCTCTTTCCAAATCATTTTATAATTTGCTTCTGCAGATGACTCCAAGCAGCTAATCGGGCATTTTCTACGTAGATGCCTTCATTATCATTGTTATTGGACATATTACAAGAATAAGGTCGAAGATATTCAACTCCAAGCGTAACATCATATGTCTGTCTTTCCTTTTGAAATGTCTGGCAATTCAGGTGACAGAAGCCAAGCTTAGTGATTGAATTCTACAAGATAATTAATCTGTATGCCTAATTGCATCCATTTCGGTGAATTACTGCTTCCTATGTTTATCTGCAAACGAATGGGATAAGAAATGAGAAACATTCTTCATTTATGTAATCTTGTCATTATATACTCCGGCAAGTCAATGTTATATTGTAACAAGACCACCGAATTCAAGAAGATACTTAAAACCGTTAACTTTATCTGAAAATAAAAAATAATATTTATCTTTATGAAATGTTCATTCTGGACCATTGGAATTTTGATCCAATGGTTGTAAAGGAAAGAGGAGGGTAGAAGAGAGGAAGGGTTGGGGAGAGGCTCTTTTCGCACAGGATGCCCGTATCATTCGTCAAAGGTCAGCGTTTATTCATTGTGCTAAGGAAAGTAGTCATCTTCGATGGGCCAACAGCGAATCTTCCCCGAAAGACAAACGGCGACGCTTCGCCGAGAAGCAAACGGCGAACCTTCCCGGTAAGGGAACGATCTGCATCAACCCTTTCCTTGTATTGAAAGCTTGTCCAAAGCATTAAATTTCGAGTTCAAGGGGACTATCGATCATTTCTCTCATCCCAAATACCATGTCCAAGCCAGAATCTCACAGATATCGTGTAGGCTATGCTCTTGAACCCAAAAAAGTCCGTAGCTTCATCCTCAATTCCCTCGTCGATTACGCGAACCAACGCGGCATCGATCTCATACAGATCGACCCCACCAGATCCTTGATTGAACAGGGCCCTTTCGACTGTATCATCCACAAATTATACGGCGAAGATTGGAAGAAACAGTTGGATGAATTTTCGGCGGCACACCCAAAAGCGGTCATAATAGATCGCCCCGACTTGATTGAGCGCCTTCACAATCGAGAATCGATGCTCGAGGTGGTGAATCAGATCAAAATTACCCTGGAAAACGGCACCGTCGGGATTCCCAAACAGTTGGTCATCCAGGAATCGAAAACACTCGACGATGCCAACGCAATCGAGGAACTAGGTTTAAATTTCCCCCTTATCGCGAAGCCTTTGGACGCTGATGGAGGCCCTAATTCCCACAATCTGTCTTTGGTATTCGACCAAAGCGGGCTCAAGACATTGAGTTTTCCTGTGGTTCTTCAAGAATTTGTGAATCATGGAGGCGTTATATTCAAAATTTACGTTGCTGGTCAACGCATAACTTGCGTCAAACGGAAGTCCCTACCTGATATACCAGAGGAGAAGCAGAAAACCATGACTGGTGCGCTGCCATTTTCGCGGGTATCTAATGCGGCCGTCCAAGGGAACAGCCACAACAAGGAAGATGATATTGCCCAGAAAAACATTGAGAAAGCCGAATGCCACCTGAAAATTTGATAGAAGGATTAGCTAAGGCATTGAAGGAGGCGATGGGCCTTAATCTATTCAACTTTGATGTGATTAGAGACACCAGAGATCCGACAAGGTATTTGGTTATTGATGTCAATTACTTTCCGGGATATGCAAAATTGCCAACTTACGAGTCGTTCTTCACCAATTTTTTGTGTGATATTGCACACCTCAAAACTGCTTAGACAAGTCACAGGATGGAGCTGGGAGCCTAGGATGACGCAAGTGAGCGGACCGAAATAAGCTGACCAAGAATCTGTTGACTTTGATTTTTAACAAGATAATTCTTTTTTGCGGGCGAATAAGAAATGTTAAATAAAAATGGAAAACCCTCCCATTTCAAAGGGTTAAAAGCTGTGCAATATGCTGAGACATGCAAGATTGCACAACAGACGGTTTATTCTAACGACAGCTGCAGCTGTGTATTATTTTGTTGATTTATTTCTTACGGGACCTTGTTAGCCTCCCTTGTGTTTTAACATTTCCTTCTTTGATCTTTGGCTTTTATCCTAATTCATGTAGCATTTGCAATAATAATTAATAAGCACGTGCGTCCTTGGAATATGAAATTTGTTCTCATTTTATTTCTTGACTTCTTGTTTTGGCTTTTCCTGCATCTTGTGAGGTTTAAGGTATTCGAACGTGTAGGCTAAAGTGGAACGATGTGCTCATATAACAGGATATTGTGAAATTATTTTGCCTTCTGGTAATGCACGAAGACAATTTCCTTTGTTAGTTTCTACTGAACCGGGCGAAAAAAGGATAGTTGAAATATCCTACAAGCATGCTTTTTACAATCTTTTCTAGTCTTCTGCTCTTGATAGCATCATTTCAGGATCTAATCCAATTCTACAATTCAAGGATTACTTTTTATCGCATAAAATACCTCCTTGCAAGCATGCTTCACTCTTCGAGCTTCAAATCTCCACTCTGAACCTACTAAATTTCTTTCATTCGGGTCCTTGCCAAACTCCAGGAAAAGCTCCATTCATTACTTCCTAAGAAAAATTTGATAATACCAAAAAATGCAGTTCAGGTGCCAATTCGTGGCAGCTCGAGTAATATATCCTATACCATTCATTTCATTCGCCCTTTTTCTAATGTCTATGGGAGCACCGAACAAAGACATTGCAAGACGTCATCTTTTCCAGTAAACCAAATAGCCAAGAGCAGTCGTCGAAGACTGCCAAGATAAGGACGGGGAAACA